ATCATCATCACCAGCCTCACCCCCTCGCTGCGCCTCTCACCAACAACGGCACCAACTCACGCGTCTTCAAACTCCAGTTTGATGCCAGGAGGATTATCTGTTGTAGTCAGGATCCGACGATCGTGGGCTGGGATTTTGCGAATGGGGATCGGGATATTATGCTTGCTAGTCAGTTCTTTGGGGACTCTTATTAGATGTAGAAGTGTTGATGGTGTTTGAGTGATTGCTTTGGTAGACTTGGCGATGATTGATAGGGGTTATTTGTGTGATGATTTATGTATATAGGGCATGTTTGCATCGCATTGGATGGATCGGGTTTTGCAAGATCCAATTTGGTAGATCAATTCTGCCGTCCGTTAATGACATCTTAGGTTACATTCACATTCTTAAGTCCTTAAGCCTTGATTATAGCAAGTCTATCTCGACAACGATCATTGAGGCGTATGCATATACCCGGAAGGTTTGATTGGCGCGGACTTCGCCAAAACGCCATGGAGCGGCTGAGCTCGCTGCAGACCTCGTCGAAAATCGTTTAGGTGTTAAACTGCGCCCACATTTGACCTGTCGTTAACCGCCCGCCTTTCTCCCCGAAAGATGTCTTCTTCTACCGTCTTTACACATGCCTTGCCTTTTCGTCGATGGAAAATGACATACTCGACGCGACCTCAGATTCCTCGCGATCTGGGGTCAGTCACAACTTGGATCAACCGGAAGCCCCGCCCGCTACTGACTGGGTGTGTTCGTTTGGATCGTAGCGTAAGCAGCGACTGACCTTCACAGAACCCGTACCCACCATTGGAAGGACGAACCCATATTCGTTTACTAGAGCTGCACCCTGGAAACCCCGGAGATACTATAAAGACCACATTAGTCACGAAAGACCTTCGGGATAAGCCTTGTTACGAAGCAGTCTCTTATGTCTGGGGTGAATACCGCGGATTCCCCAGTATTCTACTCCACGACCATATTTACGATATTCCGAAGAATCTTTTCGATGCTCTCGAGAGTCTGAGGACATCAGAAAAAACCAGAGTACTCTGGGTCGATGCACTGTGCATCAATCAGCCCGACATAGAAGAGAAGGTGCATCAAATTCCGCTAATGGGCGAGATCTATCAGACCGCGACTAGTGTTGTTGTGTATCTGGGCCAACCCACCGAGCAGACCGAAACAGATATGGAACACTTGCGCTGCTTTCTACAACCACACATCAGAGGAGAAGCCGCGCCATGGGCCCACATCGCAATACCCGATCTCGAACGCAGCATTTCCAACATCCTTGACAGACCTTGGTTTGAGCGAATGTGGACAGTCCAAGAGGCAGTTCTAGCGCGACACATCGTCCTGCAATGTGGCCATCACCAGATCCAATGGACCGCGGACTTACGTACCTTGAGAGCGTTAGTGTTTCGGGTAAAGTCCGCCATCATATCTCCGCTTTACAACCTGCACGAGTTGGATGACGAAGAGCCCGATTGGACGTCTTTGCTTTACATTCTTGAATCTCAGATGAGGCAGGCTGCACGTAAGGAAGGTGTGGTACTGCAGCGGAATCTTCTCGATGTGGCTTTCGATTTTCGACATCGACGCTGCACCGAGCCGCGCGATAGGTACTTCGCTATCCTGGCTATCATCGAGAATGAACAAGGGGGTTCGTTCGATTTCGCTGTCGACTATAGTGTGAGCGTGGATGAGGTGCATGAGCGTTTCAGAGCTGCGGTTCAGCAGGTCAGTGAGATAGAAGACGTTCCGCTTGGTTGAATTCGTGAGGTGTGGGATAGTGCTCCCGGAGAGTGCGATAGCAACAGATCTGTAAATAAGGTATCAGAAAGCACTCATGAACAGTCACTGTAGTTGAAATGAACGGTAGCCGAAGTACGTTGAGATTACTCTGATGATTGCGATCTTTCTCATCCAAGAGTAGTCTTGTATATGTGATGAGTTTGTATTGCGGAGATTGTGAGAGGCTCGCTGCTCGCTCTGCGTCATAGCAGTTCCAGTGGCGTGTCCTATGTACAAGTGAAGAAAATCGCCATCGACTAGACAAGATCGAAGTACTGGGCCGCAATACCGGCGTTTCTTAGCGCCTCCACACTTGTCTCGATTGTTGGAAAGTTGTTGTGACCATGATCATGGACTTGAAAGCCGGGGCTGAGGAGTAGTTTATCCAGTCTGGGATCCTTGTGTTGTATTTCTTCTCGGTGCTCATTCCAAAAGGCACAATGAACACCGTTTAAGTCCCCGGTATTGTATTTGACTTGCCGTAAATGTTCTGGTAAAGGTCCCACCAGTGCCTCCCCAGCATTGGCCCCCGATACGTATGACTCGCCAACAACCTGATAGTTATCAGTACCGGTTTGACGAAGTAGGACGGTAGAAAGGCAACCTAAAAGTACAGAGACTATATCACCCGGCCTGGCGGCTAATGGACCGATGCCAACAGAACCCTCTGTCGTGACGAAGAAAGACCGGTTGAGACACTTATTTATGACCCAGCCTTTGTATTTGTTCCAATGAGAAACGGAGTCAAGATCCTCGACTAATGGGGAATTGGTTGTCAATATAGACTTGAATGTTTGCATGACCGACTTGAATTCTGGATAGTCTTCGCGGACCGGGATCGTGGCATGGCGGAAATGACCGCTACAAAGCGCATCACACACCGCAGATAACCGAGATATCTCTTTGTCATTCGAGGTAGTCAGGATGGATATGATCATGCTCCATAGGGCCGTTAGCATGTATCCGAATCCATCCTCGCCGTCGCCGAAATGCATAGGTTGTATATGCTTTATCGTCGCGACAGCAACACCAGCGACACTCAACATTCCTTCTCCTTTGCTAGTTGCAATCGACTCGAAATTAGCGCTTGCATTGCTTGTGCCTCCGAGATATTCCATCGTTTTTAGCTCAGTTGACCAATCTGGGACCCATGTTGGCATATGAGGAGGAGTGTCTTGCAGCTCACACTGGAGGAGTATAGATAGATTCTTCGTGTGATTCATGAACCGTAAAGTGGTTTCTTGGTAGATAAGAGCTACATCCCGAGTATAGTCTGGGATAATGCCCATTTTTTGTTGATTTCGAGGAAGTAGGCTCAACATGCCATATATCTTGTCTCGTGGGTCTGCGCATACGACACCGGCAAGGTTTCCTCGCAGATGTTGGAGAAAATATATACGATCGCTGCAAATCGTGTATACCAGATTGATACGGGATGCAAAACTTGCAATCTCATCTCCAAGTGCTTCTGTCATTAGCCTACGACCTTCTGAATAGATAAAGAAGACAGCATTCCCAAACAGATACCAAGGCATGGTCAGTCTACCACAACAAACAAGTGCTCGAGTTGCCAGCCCGATCTCTTGCCGAATCCAGAGACGTTCAAACCACTGTCGTTGCAAGAGACGGTTCACAGCATCGGCTCCCTGGTCTCGAAACCGGCCGTCTTGGAGTACGTCTAGCGCAGTGGAGGAAGACTTATTGACTACCACCTTGGGCTTGAACGACTGACTGATCCAGTTTACATCGATGCTCGAACCGATGTCATGCATCGCGTTGAAGGCATGGAGAGAATCTTCTTCTTCGGGTCCAACCCAGACAACAACCTGACATGCTGCTCGGTAGATATCGCTCATCAAAGTGACTTGATGGCTTCGTTCATTTAGATTGTTCTGGTCGATGCAAACTGCATCCACCCATAGTGTTCTGGACTCGTTCGCGTCTCTGAGATACTGTAATGCTGTCGCTAAGTATTGCGTCACCGAAATGATGTGTTCTCGGGAAGGACCGACGAGGACGGAAACCGGATGGGCTGTTGAGCCCCAGACATAGGATAGAGCCTCGTAGTTGGTGGTGCCATCCAAAAGCACTTGATCCAGCTCCACGTGAAGGTCGTCTGAAAATTCGCCCGGACTGAGTCTCAGAAGCCTTGTGTATTTGCCTGCTGCAGGGAGCGGAAGAGCTGGATATCGATATGGAAGCATGGTAAATTGAAAGCAAAGGAAGTGAGGCTTCGATGAACGTATCCGAGATGGGAGATATGAGATCGTTGGGCTGATGAGGCTGGAGAGCTCGAGGGATTGATCATGAGTGAGACCGGATAGAATTACGGAACATGCTTCGCGCCCCAGCTTAAGTCCAGTGGAGGTGTGCCAGTGGCCGCAGCGATAGGCACCAGCGACCGCCGTTTTCCATGTCAGCTGCACTCTATGCCGTGGGCGAATGAGAAGGAGAGCTCATGCGTGGAACGTTGGTGTTGTGTTTGATTGGCGCTATGCTTGCGAGAACGCCATCAGGCGGCGTTGTAGCTCTCACCGGAAATACATAGGTCCAATGATGGGCGCAGTCGTGTCTCTACGCATAAACAAAAGCCTTGCCAGGCCTCGGTTCGACGAAATTCGACCATCCCAGAGGCAGCCTCAGTCCGAAGTGCCATGCCGCGATACAGCAATCATAGCCCTTCATGGCAAGTTGCGACCTTTTAAATCAGATCACGAAGTACCCAACGTACTCGTAATGGCAAAACTGACGGCGATGCGTGAGCAAATCCTACACCACCGTCAATAATCAACATGCCCGGAAACGCGTAGGGCACTGCTGAAACAGCCATTCTTCTTGGCACAGTTTTCAGGATACTTGAGCGCAACGTCTTTCATGTATGGCAAGCAATTGAATGTCGTGGTGGTCTTGAGGTTGAGATTGTCCGTGACGCGTCGAAATGCGCGTCATCGGAAATTGGCCTGAATGCCAAGCTCGATCGGCAGCGCTAAGTATCCCTGCTCATCGCGCCGGATGCTCGAGCAGCGGAAGCCGCGCCCCATCTCCAGCTGACAGCACTCAAGATGGACCCAGTCTGCATGTCTCGTTTGCCCTGCACCAGTTTGACCTTACATTCACTGTAGTTCTACGTACTGCCTATTGCTACCGGATATAATCTTCGCCATGCGCATCTAGCGAACCCCCATCATTCCAGCACATCTACGAGAGCGAAGCCCACCATGGTTGTCAGGTCGGCTTCAGGAACTCTGGGCGGGGTCCCCATGAAGCATGTTTCTCTTGTGACAGTAAGCCAATCGCGCACTCATTGTATACGCAGAAGCTAATCCATACACAGCTTATATTTCAAAACTCTGCCCTCATCCTGGTACGATTGCCATCCACCGCGAAGCACTACCCCGACGCGATCGAAGAGTACACAAAACATGCGGATACTGTGGAGAAGCAAGCGGGGAGTGATAGTGGCTGACGCGACCCCAGGTTATGCATTACTCCAGGATAATGCCTCTGACTGGAGAGCAACGATACCACGCAAGCACAAGCGTCTTCTTGAATGAGGTCATCAAGCTTGCTATAAGCTTGACTATGGTACGGCTTTTACCAAAAAGAATAAAACGCTGTCAGGCTCACGACCGTCCTAGGCATTATACGAGATGTCAGGCAACCTTCCTTCGAACACGACGATCCCAGCATTATTCCGTACCTTGACGACCGCGATCTTCACGAACGAGAGCTGGAAGCTTGCGATACCGGCCGTGTTATACACGATACAAAACTCCCTTCAATACATCGCTGTCAGTAACCTGGACGCCGCGACGTTCCAGGTGACGTACCAGCTCAAGATCCTGACGACGGCTATCTTCAGTGTGTTGATGCTGGGCAGAACACTTTCGGCGCGCAAGTGGCTATCCTTGTTACTTCTCATCATCGGCGTCTCTATTATACAAGTACCGCAAGCGACTGCGCCATCACCTCCACAAGCATCGGGCGTGAAACCATGGACCAAGACGCTGGAGCAGCTGCACGATCTTGGTGAGAATGTCGCAGGGCGGCTAGGGAAACGGTCTGGGTCATACGAGGGCATACACGCGGATCGCGCAGCCCAGATACCCCACATGAACTACCGGGTCGGGCTTATGGCTGTCCTGATCTCCTGCGCGCTTTCAGGCTTGGCTGGAGTTACCTTTGAGAAGATCTTGAAGGACTCAACGAGCGCCAAGCAGACGCCGCTCTGGGTCCGCAACTGCCAGCTCTGTTTCTGGTCGCTCTTTCCGTCGTTGTTCCTGGGCGTGATATGGAAGGATGGGGAAATCATAGCGAAGACTGGATTCTTCGTCGGCTACAACTGGGTGGTGTGGACGGCTATCGGCCTTCAAGCAGCTGGTGGCATTGTGGTCGCGCTCGTCATCAACTATGCCGATAATATCGCCAAGAACTTTGCGACATCGATCTCCATCTTGGTTAGTTGCATTGCAAGCGTATACTTCTTTGACTTCAGGGTGACGCGATCAGTAAGTTCCCAATGGCACAGTAAGGCTCATGATGCTGACCAGCGGTAGTTCTTCCTAGGCACATGCGTCGTGCTGTTCGCGACCTATCTTTACACAAAGCCTGAGCGGGGCTCGCAATCGCTGCCAGTTAGGATTGCCGACTTCGAGAAGACAACAGTGGATCGCACCATCGATACTAACAAGCCGCGGAGGTCATCAGTGTATGAAGGCGCTCCCAAAGCAACACCTGAGTCGCCTTCTATAGAACGGCATTCTCATAAGCGAGATGCTTGAGCGTCAGTGATATAAGGACCGTTGATTGAAACGCGGACGAGGCGCACGCATAATTGACAGAGATCTACGCACCTACTATTTTCCTTGTTTGAGGATTGCCGTTGAGTGACTCCGCCAAATCCGGATGTGGCACGTCAGGCCGCGACTTCATCCATCGTCACTTCCCTCTCATCTCAACTCTCACTTACCGCCCCACTTTAGATTCTGAGCTTTTCCCGCCACGCCTCTACTGTCAAAGAGCCTCTGATCAAGCTACGCATAGCAGTCATGGACGACGACCGCTATCCACATGATGGCTACGAGCAGCTTGGCGCTCCGCGCCACCCGTCGCAGTACGACATGCTTCTGCCTCAGTTCAAGCAGCCTGGAAGATCAGTCGCACCTCGGGATCGCTATCGCGCCACTCAATATGACGACCCCCAGTATGACGTGGTTGAGGATGATAGCATGTACGACCGAGGCCAGCAACTCGATTCATTCGGTGAGTGGTCCGCTCGCTTCCACAACTTCTTCGCTCACACTTGCAGATGACAGAGTGCTTCGACAACCATATGCTGACTTTCAGCGGCAAGCTGCACAAGGCACAAAGAGGTTGTCACTTGCACCAGGCCCTTCCAAGTTCTACAGTCACGCGGCGCCTCCCCAATCGCAGCCGTCTTACCAGGCTCGAGATCAAGACATGTACCATGAAGAAGGTACGTTAGCCTGGACTGCAGAGAGGTCCCTGCTGACTGAGAAGCAGAGTACCATCCGCGTCCTGAGCAGGCTATGCGAGGTCAAATGAGTGAGTCGGAAGCACCTCTGACGTTTGTGGTTGTGGCCATGCTGATCACCGTCCAGGTCGCTTTGCCTACAATGCCGCTCCGCTTCAAGAGTCCAGTTCCGACATGCCGCTCGGCCCGTCTTCTAGTCCAGCACTCAGGGCAAGTCAGCGGCGTGCTGAGCAAGTCACTGATTTTGGACCTCAACACGGCTCACAGCTTCCACCTTTCGAAGGCGAAGGCCATACTGTTGCTGAAGAGTACGGACAACAACATGGGCGCTCCCATGTGAACGCTGCACTGCCCAGTTTTCGACCACATGCTAGCCAGCAACGCGCATCCGCCGCACAGCACAGAGGCGACCTCAGTCCTCCGCATCATCGACAAGCTCCCCCAGAGCTGCAGAAATACCCAGAAGATGTGCCGAGCGCTGCTCCCATGTGCCAAGGTATCCGCCTGGTCCCTGTCACTACCCTACCAGATCGTCTTCGAACGGTGTTTCCTTACCCGACCTTTAACGCCGTACAGTCCAAGTGTTTCGATCGAGTTTTTAGGACCGATGACAACTTCGTGCTTGCATCCCCTACTGGAAGTGGCAAGACCGTCATTCTCGAGCTCGCTGTCTGTCGAGCTGTTGCCACCAACGCGACCGGCCAGTACAAAGTTGTTTATCAAGCACCGACAAAGGCTTTGTGTGCAGAACGCCAACGTGACTGGGAAGCCAAGTTTAACAGGTTAGGCCTCAAATGCGCCGAGTTGACCGGCGACAGCGACCTTGGGGATCTACGCAACGTACAGAGCGCCAACATCATCATAACAACACCCGAGAAGTGGGACAGCATGACCAGGAAGTGGAAAGACCATGAGAAACTGATGAGACTCATCCGCGTCTTTCTTATCGATGAGGTGCATATACTAAAGGAAGACCGTGGTGCCACGCTTGAGACGGTCGTTTCCCGGATGAAATCTATCGGCACGGATGTGCGCTTTGTGGCTTTATCAGCGACAGTGCCCAACTTCCATGACATTGCGGCATGGTTGGGAAAGAACTCGTCGGAACCAGATATCCCAGCCGCCAATGAGAAGTTTGGTGAAGAGTTCCGCCCAGTCAAACTACGAAAGCACGTTCGTGGCTTTGCGTACAACTCCAGCAACGAGTTCGGCTTTGAAAAAGTGCTCGATGCCAAGATTCCTGAGGTCATTGCTTCTCACTCCCAGCGTAAGCCTCTCATGGTCTTTTGCGCAACCCGAAACTCCACAGTCAGTACAGCGAAGCTGATAGCAAACTGGTGGGTCTCGGCATCAGACCGAGATCGCATGTGGAAGCCTCCGTCTAAGCCACCCCTGCTGCTGAACAAGGAGCTTCGAGATACCGTGTCTTCTGGTGTAGCCTTTCATCACGCCGGACTTGATCTCGATGATCGAACCAAGATCGAAAAAGGTTTCATCGCTGGCGAGATCAGTGTCATCTGCTGCACATCCACGCTCGCGGTCGGAGTCAACCTACCCTGCCATCTCGTCATCATCAAGAATACCATGGCCTGGGGTGCGGAAGGAATGCAGGAGTACTCGGACCTGGAGATGATGCAGATGCTGGGTCGCGCGGGACGACCTCAGTACGATGACTCAGCTGTAGCAGTGATTATGACCAGGCAGGCGAAAGTCCGACGGTACGAAATGCTGGTCACAGGCCAGGATCTTATAGAGAGCAAACTCCATCTCAACCTGGTAGATCACATGAACGCCGAGATTGGACTTGGAACTATTAGCGACCTAGAGTCAGCTCGGAAATGGCTAAGAGGTACATTTCTTTACGTTCGACTCCAGCAGAATCCCAGTTACTACAAATTGGACGGCGCTCGAAGTGGTCAGAGCATCGAGGAGCAAGTTGACGACATATGCTTCCGCGACATCACACTCTTGCGCGAGACCAATCTTGTGTCAGGGCAAGAGTACTTCCGATGCACCGAGTTTGGCCATGCTATGGCACGGTACTACGTACATTTCGAGACTATGAAAGTCTTCATGGAACTCGGGCTGCGGTCCACTCCCTCGGAGATTGTACGTTACACAACTTTGGCGCTACTTGGAGGACCTTGCTGACATTCATACACAGCTCTCCGCCATCGCTCAAGCTGTTGAGTACTCGACAATACGCTTTCGTCAAGGCGAAAAGGCATTCTACAAGCTGCTCAACAAGTCCGCTTCGATACGCTGGGCTATCCCTGTCAACCTTGATCTACCATCGCAGAAGGTATCTCTCATCGTACAATCCGTTCTTGGGTCTGCCGATATCTCCTGGGAAGGCGAAGCCGGCAAACATCGTTCTCAATATACGACGGAGACACAGATCATCTTCAAGAATATTGGCAGTCTGATCCGATGCATTATCGACTGTCAGATTGCCTTAGGTGACTCCATCAGTATCCACAGTGCTCTCATGCTCGAGAGAAGCTTAGGCGCCAGAATCTGGGACGATAGCCCGCTTCAAATGAAGCAAATTGGAAGCATCGGCAACGTCGCTGTCAGGAAGCTCGTCAACGCTGGGCTGAAGTCCATGGAGGATCTTGAAGGTTGCGAGCCTTACCGGATCGAAGCACTCGTGGGTCGAAATCCACCTTTTGGGCTCGACGTGCTCGAAAAAGTGCGATCGTTTCCGAAGCTTCGCGTCTCATTAAATGCTCAACCTTCAACCGTAAGTCTGCAATCTTCCTTTGAAGTACTTGTTCTAATCTGTCCAGGCAATCAAAACCCACGATGGGGTCAAAATCCAGATCAAGGCAGACATTGGCTTCATCAACGAGCAGCCGCCTCAGCGCTTCAACAACAAACTCATATACGTGTGCCTTTTGGTGGACACTTCCGATGGGCGCAAGGTGCATTTTGCTCGCATCAGGTGAGCCATTACGATCTCGGTATTGCGCTGTACTAATCTTTGTCGCAGTGGCCCAAAGCTCGGGTCTGGCCAAAGCCTCACATTCCCAGCGCTCTTGACGAACCCCGACCAGTCAATCAACTGCTACGTCATGTGTGATGGCATAGGCATGTATTTCGGCTCGATTATGAGAGCTAAGACTGACTGTTATAAGCTGGCAGTATGCGTGCCGCCGCCGTGAAGCCCCAGGTCGCCGCCTCTATGTTTCCAAACCCAAAGCGCTTGGAAGCAGAGCGGCCAACATCGCATCAGTCTAACATGTCAAAGCGCCGCACGGATACTGCAAGGCCGATCAGAAAGGCGTCCGCCACCAGCGATGACTATGGAGATGGTGATGTGGATGATGATGCTCTTGTCAACGCTTCCTTCCGTGATCTGGACTTTGATCACATCGAGAATTACGCCGATCCTATCGATTCTATTACGCGGAAGAATACGGCGAAGAACAAAGTTACCAAGAACAAGGATGACGGAAAGAGCAAACGCCTCGCACGACCGATTGATACTACTGCTGAACAAGACGATGCAGAGCCAGTACAGCTAGCTAATGGAAAGTGGGCTTGCAATCATCCGTGCAAAGATCGAAGTGCATGCAAGCACCAGTGTTGCAAGACTGGCATGGATAAACCATCGAAGAAGAAAGCTGTCGCCAAACGCGTCCCATCGTGCGAAGATCGGCCTGAGCCGACGCAAAAACCACCGCTGCCGAAAGGCAAAGAGAAGCAAACAAAGCTGCAACTCACAGCTTCTAAGAGGAAGGCCTCTGCGCCGATTGACGAGCTCGATCTCACGCAGCAAGAAAAGAAGCAGAGAGCCGACTATGGCACCAACGGACCTAGGGACTACCGTGGCCTGCACCAGCTGCACAAGACTATCCAGGGTAAAGAGCTACCTTCCTCTCTTCATTCCGTCATGTACAAGAAGCCAGCCTATTGTTACTCTCAAGGTGGTGAGCATAGTCTTGACTTTATGGGCGGCTCCGCTCCCGAGCGGCATCCAACATCAAGCGATTACGGTGATTTTCGATTTGACGAGCCATCAGTCGACTTCGGTCATCCGCAGCATCAGCCTGCGCAACAAGACTTAATCGGTGACACACAAGAGCCGGAAGATTACATGGACTATGAGCCTGCAGCTCCTGCAGCCTCTCACGAATCCGACGCCTTTGACGATGACGACTCCGTCCTTCGAGAGGCTTTCATTGGGCTTGCAGATTCTCAGAATCTTCAGGAGATCCGTGAAAGCGACACTAATATCATGCAGCCGTTCGAAAACGTCATCGACGATGACTACATGGGTTACGGAGAAGGTGACAAGCAGATGGACTTTAGTTTGATCAATTCCCAAGATCATGTTCCGCGAAAGCCGGAGTTCAGTCATCCCGATTATCCTCGCAAAACACAAATCAAGACCTCTCGATCGCCTTTCTTTGACAGCGAAGACAGTGCCGAACCCAAAATTGCAAACACCATACCCACAAAGGTATTCACGTCGCCAGATGTGCAACAACGGACGGCTACGCCACGCGAGCTGCATACAGCCGGCGACCAGCAAGATGCGTGTGTCGACGACGAGGTAGCAGGCATGTTGAGCATGTTCGGCGATGAGCCGGCCGTTGTCTCACTGGTTGAGGAGAAGCCGGTACCCGAAGCTTTCAAGGACCTGGAGCCGTGGCTGTTCCAAGAGTTCGGCGACATTGTGGAACTTATTGATGAATAGAGATGCTACATCTGGAGCCACTGCGGTGCAATGGATAAGCAACGTGGACATGTGTGGGTTGGCGAATATCTGGCGAAATCTAGGCACTAGCAATGGCCTCGTCTCTTCAACTCGCTTTGTTCTTTGTTCTGTTCATTCATGCTGTGAGAACGTCTCCCTTTCTACGAAAGGATGTTGAGCCAGAAGTATACATAATCTTAGCAACGGTCAAGATGTTCAACTTCAACAGTGTACGCAACACGCACTCTAGCCACCCCTAGAGTCAACAGGCGAGTTGGCAAGGCTGACCAAAGCAGCAACAGCATCATACTCTTTCGCTTCCATCTCCCTGACCTCCTCCTCTTTGACAACAGCCTCCATCTCGACATCTGGCAGATGCGACAGAAACCACCGCCACTCCTCCAGCCCGTCCGCATACTCCGACTCAGCCTCAATCCCCCTCTTCACCAAACTCTCCTTCATCACCTTGTACCTCTCCATCATCCCAAACGTAATCACCGGCACAAACACATCCCCCGACCTCCCAACAACACACCCATTCAACCTCGCCCTCAACGCCGGAAACATACGATTAAACTTCGACGCAAACGCATTCCCCTCACGCTCCACCCTCGGCGGCAAATCCTCTCCATTCCTCCCCTTAATCACACTCCCCACAAACGTCTTATTAAACGCGTCCCTCACCTGCCTGCTCCCCGGGAGCATGATCCCGCGCTTCCTTGACTCAACAATGGAGAGCTGGAAGTAGAGCTCGAACCACAGTTCCTCAGCTTCGTACCATAGGCTGACGGAACGCGCTTTTAGGCCGGCGCGGCCGTAGATCTGGTTGCGCCACGCGTTTACCTGGGAGATGTGGCGAGGATTGTGCCAGTCGATCAGGGAGTGCGGGATCTTGCGGAAGTGGAGTTCGGTTGTTTTGTGCGGGGCGGTGCTGCTGTCGCAGAGCATGAGGAGGAGGGATGAGTCTTTGACGCCGAGGGTGGCTTTCTTGCGGGGGCCGCGGGGGACGAGCGTGGACTTTGAGCCGGACGTCTTGCTGGTGGTGGTAATAGCAGCCTTTGTGGTGATGGCCGGGGCGCATGTTGTTGATGTTTTGAGCTTCTTGGCTGGTGCAATGAAGGCTGGGTCGGTCTGCTCCTCCGCGCAGCGTTTGCGCTTCTGTGTGGGGATGGAAATGAAGGAAGGATGTGACTGGGGCTCGAGCTTCATTGTCTGGGTTGGGGTATGAATCGAGACGTGGATTCCGGAAGCGCCGCTGATCCCTTTGCGCAAAGTAGGCATCTTGTTCGTTGTGGGAGCTGACAGACGGAAGCGGTACGTTCAGTGGCAAGATTGGATACTTTGGAGTCTACTTTGTCACCAGAACATGACTTAGCGAAATTGTAACGCGATGGAGAATTCTGAGTTGTTTACCTTGCGTAGGTTACTCTCAAATGGTCGGGCCGGTGTTGTGTTGTGTCGTTTGGATGGTTGTTGAGAAGAGTCAAGGAAGTCTGAATGAGAGACAAGATGCGACGTAGAGCCAAGCTTGCAAGATTGCGCAATGGTGAGTTGTGACTGAAAGAGTTTTCAAGAAAAGTGCGGACGTGAAACAGGGTGTGAGGGCGCGCCGTGTACGCGTTGTTGTTTACAACCGTCGATGACGCCGCGCAGCCGTCAACACTGACTCGGAAAAAGTGAACGTGAACGAAAACAGGACTAGTCTAATCGATTAGTCTGAATTAATGGTATATGACTGAGACATCACTGACCGTGAAGGACGCTCGTGGTGACTGCGTGCTTTCGACTGACGTCACCGCAGTAGTTCAAAGACTCTCACTCTCACTCTCAGGAAACAAACACGATTTTTATGGATCCAGGCATGAGACCGTGGGTATGAGATTTAGTTCATAGCCTGATGCACAATACGGAGGCTCCTTGTAAAACACATGTTCTTGACAGTAGTCCATTATATGACATGCCGACAGTGATGATTGGGGAAAGGTTTCCAACCTAAAACGCCAGTCCAGGTGTGCTACGTGGATGCAGTGCTTCTTCACTCCCTTGCTCATTCGTTCGCAACACTCGCATGTAAGGTTCCGCTCGCATCGTATGCCCGCCACCTGCGGTCTCCATATCAAGACGAACTGACGTTATCTCAACGTTGTGGTGTTCAGAACGACGACGAAGAGCATTGAAGGCTGGAGCGCAGCCAATAATGACTGCCATCGAAGTCTCAATGACGGTCCACATTTGCAACCACTTTGGGTCCGGTATCTTTGGCAGACCGTCTTTGACGCTAACTTGAACCACACGAAGCGTGGCGAAGACCTAGCAATAGTAGTGTCAGTATTTTATTTAAACGCGGGAAATGTTTCGTTGAGTACATACGATGCAAATCCAACCGCTCCCGAACAGGATGAAGATGCCGAGCTTTTGGGCCCTAGGTAGCCGAAGGTTCCAGGTCATGCGAAACGGAAGGAACATTACTGCACTTGTCAGTGAGGTCCCGTAATCGATAGGACTGGCATACGAACCTGCAAGATCACCGGCTACATCTACTGCGTACGCAAACCATAGGCTGAACTGCGCACGCTTCTGCTCATTCGGTTTTGCGCACATGCCGTAGTTGTACTTCGCCTTTTGGTCGTCGCAGACGAAGATTGTTGTCATAGCACTTCCCACATAAGACTGTTCGAGTGTTAGTAATGAGCTCTAACCGATGGTCATGCGTTGCGTTTACCAAAACACAAAAAGCCAAAATCGCCCACCACATGATGTTATACTTTGGCGAGGCTTTGTTCAACAGAAGTCGGTATAGGGCTAACAGTGATAGCTTTACTGCTGTCAAAGAGGAATAGTACAACAACTGACCAGCTGTCAGCCATCGATAGACCATTCCTGCATCGTGAACTGGAGACCGTCAGCATGTCGCTTTGTCTGCGTATGGAAAGATGGTTGTACGCACGGAGTCCTGGATACAACGGCGCCTCGCCTCTCTGAACACGCTCGGCCCGATAAAGAGGGTCATTCTCCTTGAAGAACATGACGAGCATCGCCACGTAGAAAACATAGGAGAGACAGCAAAAGAAGTCTTGCAGCTCGAATGTTCTCCGCTTGCATAATCGAATGACAATGCGCGCGACGAAGACCAAAGACGTTAGAGTCAGCATAGCGGTGTTGATGCCTTCTAGTTCGCGTCTGCTCATCGTTGCTGGAGGTGCGTTCTTGTCCCAAGTGACATCTGCAAGTTGTTGGGACGTCATGGTGTCGTGTCTGGGTATATCGGAAGTGTGTTGGCAAACATCCGACGCGGCAAGGCGTTCCAGTACTGTATGTCGTCAGGTATTTGGGTGCCCAGGTGTGAAGCGATCGATGAAGTAGTGATGGGTCTACATCAATAGCACCAGCAGGAACGTATGGATACATCAGATCAAGTATTTGATATCTGACCGCTTGCGAAGCGGAGCTATACGATTAGTATTCCCGTAAGCGCCTGTCTACCTTGTTCAGACTGATCTGCCGTACAAGGTACTTTGCGACGTGGGTCTGTATTACTGCATATCTCACGAAGACCGGTATTGCACTGCCATCGTGCGACCAGCCTAACAAAAGCTGTAGAGCTTATGGTCGCATCGTCGGTAACATTCGATAGCGCACCACTTTGAAAGTCTCTTATCGAGCCACTTGAGGATGTCGTCCAGCGGGGCCTGGAAGTACCTGCAGTATCGTTCACGGGCTGGTGGGGGCGATGTTACCGAGAGTAAGGTTCTCATTTCCAGGGTCGTCCCGCCTCCGCCGCTCGGCCGGCACAGCCATCCCCGTTCCGAGCATCCTTCTGCTATCAGAGCGCATCACTGTTCGACTTTGATTCATCTCCTTTTCGGAATGAATGTTGTTGTGGCCTTGAAAGTGCTATAGGCTGCTGGTCGATGTAAACCTCATAGCGGCGACGGATTGCGAGACGCGACTTCCCCTGGACCACACTAGGCTGGATTAAGAATAGCCGATAGCCTGCCCCAGGTGCGCATTCCGTGCAGGATACGGCAAGGCTTCGCTCACAACATCGCCACAATCCCGCAGGATCCAACCGTCTTCTTGCAGGAGGCTTAGCATTGCGCCAATGATCGGACACGTACCTCAAATTAGATGCTTACAGCCAAGCGAGGTGCAGAAGGATGCGGCGCACTGGTATGCTGTTAAAGAGGCCCCCAAGTGAGAGAGCCCCGGGCCCCCAGACCTCGACGCGCCCTTGGGACCAAACGCGCAGGTTATTGTCACGAACGCGCTGCCAAGTGACCTAACTCGCACCATTGATTGCAGCCATCAGCAGCGATGAAGGTCACATGTCTTGTTTCCATTGCAGCTCTTGCAGCCGGTGTGGGAGCACAAGCCAGCGGCGCTGCTTTTGAGCCGCAAGACTTCAACATCACTGAGGCTCTCGAAAACCTCGGCGTCGACGTCTCGGCTCTGCCGGAACCTGCGAATGCACTCAATGCCCGTGTCTCAGATGCGCAATGCTCACATGCTGTAAGTTTTGTCACAATATTACGGAGGTAGGGTTGCGCAAGCTGACAGACTCTAGTGTACTGCGTTGACGATACTGTTCGGCACCGACAAGGTCTTGGCTGAAGGAGCAACCACATACAGCAACTTCACCGGCGGATACTGGTCTGCTCAACAAGGTTTAGTACGACCTTCTTGTGTGTTTAAACCCACGAAGACAGTTGAGGTCTCAACATTGGTGCTTGCGGCTAGATTGTACCAATGCCCCTTCGCCATAAAAGGCGGTGGCCATGCTGCGTGGGCCGGAGCATCTAGTATCGAAGATGGAATAACTGTATCGCTTGAAAACTTCAAGCAGGCTGTTGTTGCCTCCGATAAGCAGACAGTTGACATTGGCCCGGGACTCCGATGGATAGACGTTTACAATGCTGTCGAGAAAGACGGTCTGAGTGTCGCAGGAGGACGTGTAAGCCTACGCATCTGCGCCAACTTTATGGTTATGCCACTGATCATAG